CCGTTATTAACTCATGGATGATGATGGATGTATCACTGATGGTCAATGAAAAGAAATTCACTGCTTATCGCTGATGAACCTTTTTTTCCGTTTACCCCATCCGACATTGTTTGAAACCTTGCCAGTATCGAACCATGAGAGCCATTCGGTCTAAACAGTGACTTGTAGGGCACAACTGAAGTACAAGTTAGTGTTTTATCCTCCCGGACCAGTATAATTCAGGTGGGCTGATGCTGTTAGGATTTTTTGGTTAGATAGAGCAAAATACGACCTGCGGTTTCAATCCCCGAGTTATGCGAAGGGTTGGCGCCAAGTTGTCGCTGTTCCATGTGGTGGTTTTAGTGTAGATCGTGCCGAATAGGAGCTGCATAAAACAAAGTAAAAGAACCAATATTTCAGCGAAATAAACTGAAAGACCAAATTGATATCAACGGCAAAGAGCGTGGAAGTTATCATTGATTTGCTGGCCGCATCCCTGTCACCGTGTTTTTTTTTCGAATTGCTCGCTTCTACTCGCTGTCTGTGAAGACGTCGGAAAAAGAAAGTACTTTTCATGCACAGCTCCACACATAAGGACAAGATTTTAGGGAACATTTCACTCCTTCCTGTGGTGCAAGTGAACCAGATTTTGCTCATGAAACGAAGAGCATGATACGATCACAGTTGTTTTAGGGTGTTCTTTGTTACTCCTCTGCTGATCAATCTCTGTTCGAGCGTGAGCGACGAAGAAAATATTGGAGTTTCACGTCGGCTGGACGAGCGCCGCAGCGGCAACATTATTGTGGAGACGAATTTTCGACTCTATGCCTACACAAGTTCTAGTCTTCAGCTGGCTATTCTTTCTACTTTCACCGAAATGACGTACCGATTTCACGATATGTCTGTTGGAATCCTTACAAGGGAATCTGTCAGGAGAGCTTTGCAGGTCTAGCGAGTTTTATTACAACTTCTTGAAACAGATTTGCAACTAGTAATATTTAGGTTGGAATCACTGCTACTCAGATTATTTCGTTCCTTCGGGCAAATGCTCATCAACAGTGCATTTCTACAGGAGGCCCACTAAACTGCCTTCCTGTTACGGTGGGTCGTCGAAGGGCACTACTCAGATAGTAAAGGATCAGTATCAGGAATCTACCTCAGAGGGAGTTGTTTAGGTTGCGGACCAAATTCGATTATGGGAAGACGAACGGCGTCGATTGACTTTCACGGAAGCGACATTGTATTCAACGTTTGAGGGTGATACAGAATTCATAGGTAAGTAGCCATGTACAACGACAGATTATTTCCTGATAGGCCATCTCGCGCTCCCAGCGTCCTCTCTTTATGAATATTCATTCAAGCAACAACCCCAGGGATTCATACTTTTGCCACTTATGGAGTGAAACATGCGTGAACTTTACTTGAGAACATGTGAAGTGTCGCTGCAGCAAAAAGTGACCTTGGAAACTTCCGAGGAGTTGGGCTGGTGCCAATTTCGGTTCGTCCGCTCTTGGTCGACACGCCCATTTCGTAACCGTGGAGATCGCGTGATTGCCTGCGTGGCCAATGCGCAGCGGCTAATTCAAATACACGCGAGTTAGTGGAGTCATGGAGGGCAAACAAGCTCAGAAAACACGTCCGGCCCCGCCTCTTTCCTTTAACACCTTGGAGCCCACGCAGCCCATATGTGGGCTGCAGTCCTCCGACCGCATAGGACCTTTCAGCTCGCATTTCGGAAACAATTATTAGGTTTTTCATTCATTTTCTTTTCCATTTTATCCGATAAGATTTCTTCTGCATTACACAGTGGGTTCTTCTTTTGAATTTGCTAGATAAGATCCCTAAAAATTTCACCGAAGTCCCGCGCGGCCGCGGAACGTAAAACACGCGCGGTCTCCAAAGTGTTAAAGATGGCGGCGAGAGTTGCTGGGTATACGCGCGGGTTTGGGTCGTTAAGAGAGAGGGCGATAT